GAGCATAAACAGGGTTATTTTATGAGTGATGAATGCCCTTTTCCCAAAAAGCCGTTAGGGCAGAGGGCAGGAAGTGTCAGAAAGGTGGCGGTTTCTTTTCCTAATCCTCAGTCTGATTTCCTTTTGGGTTTGACCCCATGAGGAAGGCTAAATTATAAAGAGGTCTTAGGATACCTTCACTTGGTTCTCCACCAAAACCCATCTCTCCTCCCTGCCCCACAACTATGTGCATCCAGTCAAGATTGCTGCTCGCTAGGCAATAACAGAGGGAATGACATTCCTCTCATCACTCCTCAATCACAGAGGCTGTGAAGGGCACATATGTGCAGCACTGTGGTCTACAAAGGGGTCATGGAAAAGGAAGAAACAGAGGAATCACTATAGATTGATCTGGAAGCACAGAGCATGAATCACCTGGGTTTTTCACCACTGTGGGGGTCAGGCCACCATCAGGGCTGAAAAAGATTTGAACTGTAAAGCTCTCATGGTATCATCATCCTGGTACGATAGTTTTAGCAAAGTTTCACTAGACAAACTCGGATTTAATTCTGTCATTTTAAATACTGCTACAGAAATTACAACTGCTGTATTTTCCAGTATGAAGAGTGGAAAGGATTTAGGTGGGAACCAACTATTCACTGCACATACTTTTCTTGCTAGGAGAACTGTGATCTCAAACTTCAGCACTTAATTTACAACTGTTTCATCTGTTCTCTCCTGCTGCTTTTGCCACTTCCTGCAGTATTTGGGAAATCCTGCTCTTTATTTAAAAGCTATTAGGCATGGCTATTAATTCCCTAAACTATCTCTCCTTTCTGATTTGTTGCCTACCTCAACAAGGGAATTTGAAGTGACCCAGACTGTACTTCCATTCTATCAATGCAGTGCAAAGCTGCTTCAAAACAACTGCAGTTCTGCAGCTAGGCCTTTCCTTTGCCCAGTTTTTACTCCAAAGTAAGGGAGCTGAGGGAGAGATGCACAGGGAAGCAGAACAGTGCTCTGCATCACTCCTGAGTAGTGATAGGCCTCCAAATAATAGTATAATCCTGCTCCAAAAGCAGAAGTCAGATTGGACCCTGTGCCAGAAAGTTTTCCTTCCTGATCACCTCCACCACAAATGCGCACCACCCAGGCAATGTCTCCATGGGCCATGACGAACAGACCCCAACTTCTCTCCTTTCTCCCGGAGCAGCCCAGGTACAAGGCAGCTCTAAGCTGGTTTCAGCTTTAGCAGTTGCTAAACTGCTGTGCATCATCACTGGGCACAGCATGGTGCTAAGTGAGCTCTAGAGCTCGTGACTGGTATTGGAGCACATCCCACCAGGCTGGGGAAGGGACAGCGGGGAGCTCATGTTGACGTTTGCAGACGCACGTCCTACGTCCGAACAGGGAACAGAGACACTACACCTCCAAGCAGGAAATTCAAAACAGGATTGCTTGAAGCTTTCTTCATAATTTTCTTTCCTTTATTTTTCTGCTATTAGTGACATTTACAAATATGTAACTCTGAAGCCAACACCAGGATAAAGCCTTGTGAAGAAATGATAGCTCAGCTAGATTTGTCATAGTTTCATTCATTTGAGAAATCTGCTTACCATGATCCCAGGTCCTGAGTGTGAGTGTCTAAGCAGGCAAAGCCCTTGCCCTGAGTTCTGCTGAAACGAAGAAGCACAAAGCACACTATGGACTTCCCTTAAAGCTTACAGAAATCAGGCCAAAACATACACTCCTATATGTGTACAGATGCTATAGGTATATATGCATATAACACATGCATAATACATACTCACACTCTAGAGGTACCTTAACCTGGAGTCACTCAAACTAGTATATCTGAGCTTTTCCTCTTCAAAACTGTGACAAAAGTGTGATGATGGAAACTGAAGAAGTTTCAAAAGCCCACAAACATCTTCAGTGAGAAGGCTTTTCACATCAGCTTTGTACTCAATGTACAGTATTAAAAAAAATATCATTTTAATAGCTGACTCCTTATAAATGATTAATGTATTGCATTGCATGTAAGTGCTCTCCTGTTTCTAGGAACATCTACTTGGGTAATACGCTCATTTGTGATTCATGTGCATGTTCTTTTATAATTACAGTGAAACAACAGTTTCTGGGGAAGTGGTTTTTAAAAGTATGTCGGGTGCTGCAGAGCAAGATCAAAGTACAATAAAACTTATGTGGAAGCAAAACTCGTGCATGAATAATGGCATCGGCTCTCACAATGGGCTGTATAAACACATGTAATTCTAAACAGGATGGACTGTATTTTCCATACCAGCAATTAATCATGGAAGGCTATATTCACATGAACAGGCTGAGCACATAAGCTTGAATGTATCACCATAACCATTTGCTTCAGAAATATATACACATACATGCCTGGGTTCCCACCAGCAAGGAAACTCTCACTGCAAGATGTCAACACAAATCTTTACATAGAGTGTTCAGGATCCTATAAACAGCAAACACACATGTAAAAGCAGCCTCAGCAAATAGTAATGACTAAACCAGACAGTCTGTATTTCAGTGCGCAGAGAGGCGGCCAGAGCAGCTGCAAAGACCTCAAGTTCATACCCTGGAATTATCAAGCAGAAAACTGCAAAATGTGCCAGATATGGCACATCAGGATCGAGTCACCTCTTGTTTCGCTTTAGTGAGGAAAGACATTGAGGCAGTGGCTGGAAATAACACTTTGCTTGGATGTTTGAAAGGAAAAGAAATACTTTCTGTAAGCAAGCGTTAAGCAGGGTGCTGAACAACTCCAACACCAGATGATCCCCAAGTTCAAGCAAAAACCCTCATAGCAACTGCAGCACTTCTACTACCACCCATGCAACTCTGGTGGGGACTCTGAATCTCACCTGTCAGTGCTAAAAAGTACAAGACAAATGGGTTTCCAGCTCAGCTATCTGCATTTGGAACATTGTTCAGCTGCAGGGCTTTGGCATTTATCTTAGTAAAAGTAGATTGCAAGTGCAATGATCAGCTGGTGAGCAGCAGTCTGTGTGGAATTCCTTGGTCATCCAGCCCAATCACAGAACACACGGGTTAGCTTACTGCTTCGCAAATATCAAATGAGCACAGAACAAAACATGTCAGAAGGGGTTTCTTCCTAGAAAATGATACAGCTTAAATGGTAGATTTGTTCAGAATAAAAGAAATGAAGCAAATAATGTATTTTACCTCCAAAAATACATTTTTGAGGAATTGTATTGAAATGCTAAGCTTTGAAGGCAATATCCAAATATCACAGTGCTTCTTTAATATAGAGTTATATGGATATTATTTTGCCAAAACAAACTAGAGAACAGAAGAATCCTTGTGGCTTAAACTGCTCTGAGATTTCTCTACAGCCTCTTTGCAAAAATACTAACCTGAGGTGTAATGTGAGAAAAGCAAGTAAGGAGATTCAGGCGGAATGTCTTTCTTCATTCCCAGGTGAACAGAAATCTCCATGACTTGTGTCCAAATATTTCGAAAGCATCAGGACAAGGAAGTGACAGGTACTGAAGACTCCCCCTACCTTCCCCAATTACATGAACCATCAGACTAGAGAAAGAAAACTTTTTTTCCTCTGCTGTGGTATTTCTTTTCACTCATCAGCAATCTAGTCTTCTATGGGATATAATGGTACTTTAAAACCTGAAGTGTGAAGGTCATGAACTGAATTAATTCGAAGGCTAAAAAATCTAGTACCAATAGTAATGGAGTAGTGTAAAAGACATAATCATTATGAAGTGTGTGTAGTTGTTTGTGTATATGAAGGGCTTCAGGGGAATAGAAAATGTGAAAGATTTTCTCTGATGCTGACTGTAGTAAAATTTGAAGTGCCTTGTAATTCCTGGTCCTGTTTGCATGTGGGACCAGCTCCTGTGCTAGGAAATATATTCTGTCACTGGGAGAGATACAGGCAGGACCTTCCAGCTCTGTCTCAGCTGAGGATGCCAGGAGCCCTGCCAGGTCTCCATGTGTGTGCCCAGATACCACCCGGTAATAACCCCATGGCAGACCCAAGTGGGACTATCCCCGCACCCTGGGCTTGGGCTGCACTGCAGGAAAACCCAGAAACACCAGCAGAAGAGAAGTACGGTGCATTCAAGAGGCTCCTCTGTCTGGACGGTGGAAGGACAAGGACTGTTGGTAGCACTGCAGAAAGTACCTGGCATGTTGCTTGCACCCAGGCTGGGAGATGCAGGGCCTGTTCTCACTGCTGCTGAGGGATGACAGGTAAAGACAGGCATGTTCCTGCATTTCTGTTTCACCCTCTCAGATGTCTGCTTTCACCCATCCCAAGTGCGGTCAGCAGGATCACTCTCTCACGGTGTCTGCACGCTATGTTACTCTAGCGTTGCCTGGGCTTTAATGCTCTGCTGCTATACCTTAAAAACAGTGAAGTTTTTCTGCTGAGACAACAGTCAGTACAAAGCACTACCAGCAAACCCTCAAGCAAAAGCCACCCCCAACAACAAAAGAGAACTCAGGGAACACAAAACAAGTCTCTGCTATTAACAGCATTGTGTGAATAACTTAACAGCCTTTTCCACCTCTATCCTCTGTGTGTTAGTATCAAAAGGTTTTAAAAAGCACTCCAAGGGCGTGAGCCTTACCGTAAGAGGCTACAAATCTTAAAAACTGCACATGGAATTCCTTTTCTTTCATAAGCTTCAGAAACGCATTCTCTGAAATCCCCTGTGCTCGTCCATCAATGTGGAGGTGAATAAATGTAGCAAAGAGCAAAGGTATTATGGAGCAGCTTCTTCCCTGCCTGTCACTGCACTGTACAGCCATTCGCATCTGCAGCGTGAGTTCAAAGCTTGAGTAGAAACTGTCACTGTCTGACAAAGCCTTTGCACTCTGTATCAAAAAGCACCCATTCACATTTTCAACAGTATCCTTTTCTCTCCAAGAAGAAAGTTTTCAAGAATAAATGATATTTCTCAAAGCCATTGCCAGTACCCAAGTGCTCCCCACGAAGACAGTTAACTGCACCCTACCCGTAGAAATGATGCTCCTCCGATCGCTTGCTCTGTTCCCTGCTTCTTCTGCCTCAGAGTGCTCAGATCAGATCCTGCCCCAGAGAAAAAGCAGAGTCAAAGGCTTGGGATACTCAGAGCCGAGTCCTGAAGTCAGGCTGCAGGAAGATCAAGGACTACTGGGCTGAAGTGGCATGGAAGAGAGACATATCAAAGTGCACTATCACTCACCCATCACACACAGGTAATTGAGAGCAACTTAATTTGAAACCACTGGTCACCATCTGGTGATAAAATAATGAGACACCAAGTGAGTTAAAGCAAGCTTGCAGATAATGGGATATTTTACTTACACTACATAATGAAATCCATCATCCCCCCCATTCATACTGTCGAGTCTTTCCCAGTTTAGCAGTTTAATACCACTTGTGTTAGCTTTGTCTCTCCTTTGCTTCAATTAGAAGCTGATTTCATCTTTCTAACAGATTGCATAGTACACGCATGTGCACATCACCTTCCAATTCAAGACACTTCTAACATGAAAGGAAGTTAAGTAGAAAAGAGAGCAGCTAAGACTGCCAAAGCTATGCCACTCCTAAAAACAGGCAGAGAAGAAAGCCATTGGGGTGAACATAATTAAACAAGGCAGAATTAAAGCATTAAAAAAAGACAGGACTCTGAGTCTCCCCTTTCTTCACAACTCCTACATGTATATTTATGAATCCTGGAACAGCAGCAAAATAAATAGTAATATCCTAACACAGTGAGAGGCTTTAAATATATGTAAAAGCTTTAAACACCCAACCTGCTCTGCTTCTAATTATTTTTGCTACATGTGAAATAGTTGAGGAAAACATACACAGTATCTTTACTTTGTTAATTATCAGCTGGCTCCTGCTGCACATTACTAAGCTGCTATGGCAGTGACTAATGCCTCTGACAATACTAACTTCCCAATAACACCCTGTGAAGGAATGTGACCTGAACAGTGTAGAAAGAACTAGCTGGAGGTGTTTATTTTCAGATAAAAACGATTTACCCAGGTATAAGACAACAAATATTCAACACCACATGCACAAATCCTGAGGAGGAGGGGCCGCATCACAGTTCCCACACACTGCCTACCACAAGCCAGAGTAACCTGAATGTTTGCGTTTCACATTGTTTGCTCATGGGAGAGATGAGGAGAAGCAAGAGCACCTGGGATTCCTCCCCAGCGGCAGTTTAGATGCTGTGGGCTCTGCTCAGTGACTTCACTAGCACACTGGATGTGCAGTGGCAGTGCCATACCACATACTGATGCTCAGGCTCAGCGACAGTGCCAGTCTGTGCCCCTCAAGAGGGCCAGGCCCTGCGCCATCCCTTCATGCATTCAGTAATTCCCTGATGTGAAGCACACAAGGGGAACGCCCACTGAAGTGAGAGCATGAGGCAGCCATCCCCTTCAGCATGCAAAGAGCAGGGCTGCTCAGCTGCAAGGGACACCAGGTAGTGTTCCAGGTCTTGGGATGGCAAGGACTCGGCATCAGGGAAGATGAAGGAAACACGACTGCCCATAAAAGATTTCTCTGCACTGTTGCAGCCCAGGCACAGCCCTTTTCCCCTCACCTCTGAATACGAGTCTTTTTTTTTTTTTCCTTGTTTTCTCAGTGTAAGTACCTTCTGCCAAATTGATTAGTGTAATAACATTACAGCTTGGCCAGGAGCTTACACGTCTTAGTACTATGTGTGTGAAATAATGTTACTCTCCTTTCCAAATCCTCCTAGAGTGGTTAGGAAAGCCAGCCTTCTCTTGCACAGCTGCAGTATAAAATTGCTGAACAAACCTATTCTGCCTATAATGGGAAGGGACACATTTTCTTCTCTACTGTAAGTAGGTCAATGAAAACATGATGTTGTGAGGAAGAAGCTGTTTTCCTCCGTCCTCTTTCCCCTAATGGCAGTTTCAAATCATTCCAATTTAATTATGTTTCTAGTGTTACCTATAATAACATTGCAAGGTTATTAACAACTGATATATTGGTGGTCTTGAAGTCTGGGGTTTGTGCTTCCTCATGGGCTTACTCTAGCCTCAGGTATACACATGCAATTTCTACACAGGGCACCTCACTGCACAGTTAAGAAAAGCCTGCAAAAAAAATCTAGATGTGTAACGCAACAATACATTATGAGGCACAAATTTTAACTCTCAGCTCTGAGATTTGCATTGAGCTTTTACATTAATGCAATCTCTTTTTGAGGATGAAATGATGACAATCATCTACTCTAAAGTAGCTACACTGTCAACAGTGAACTTGCTCTGAATTAATACTGCCATGAACAAAGTGAGTATTTTCAGTGGAACTACTCCAATTCATTGCACCGAGAGTCTTCTCTGCATGCATCTTGTCAGGAAGAATTAACCAGTAGCTGAAGAAACACTGAACTTGCAGTTACAGCTGTATGAATACTAAATGCAAATTAAAGGACACTGGTAATGAAAAAAATACATTTGGAGGGAGAACACACCATCCCAAACCAGAAAAAAAAAGGAAAAAATACATTACACTAAAGAGACTATAGAACACCTAAAGTCTTCTAAAATGAAAGTTAAACACCAAAATGGGTGTTGCTTTTTTCCTGACAGCCTCTCTATATTTTAGAACAGATGGTGTAAATTAGTCTTGTCGACATAATCTGAAAAAAGGAAAAAATAATTAATTCACCTCACGTAATGCTTGTTGTACACTCTCACTCACCCACACAAAGCACTCCAAAGGCCCCCTTCTGCAACCAACTGTTTCCCATAGCAAAGGCTGCATGCTCTTACAACCCACTCTTTGTACCCTTGTCCTGAAAACAACAGGCCTGCCTAGGACAGTAAAGCTAAGCACGCACAAGTGGACACCAATCTGTCCTCACTGCAAAATTGTTATCCCATGACTTCAAAGGGGACTCAGATTTCATCCTAAGAATCCAATTACATATTTCAAATTTGGAACTCAAATGGACTGTCAAGTGCCAGCTGACAAAGTGAGGTCCCCAAGTATTTCAGGACAACGATATTTGAACTGAAATGCAAAGACAGCTGTTTATGCCTTAACCACTTACCTATGGAACATTTCAAATGGAGGAAATTACATGATGAATAAGTGCCTGTGTACCTCAGCAAATCGCATCCCACTCTGCAGAGAGATCTTTCCAATCACAATTTATAAACCCAGGACACCATGTTTTTCATTAAGAAAATAATTCCATGTGCTGTATTATCACCAGTAACACCAAATCATAAAGATAGTAGAAAAGATATGCAACCCACCTCCCACTATGAGCTAAAGCCAGATACACTTCACTCATGTTTATTAAAACCATTCCTAACACCTCCAGTGATGGAGACTCCACAAAATCCAGTGGCAGCGTGTACCAAGGACAACATTTTCCTAGGGTTTACCTCATCTTTCTGGCTTCACTTTAGACCCATTTCTCTTTTTCCACAGCACAGAAGAGAGATTACTGGGCCTCCTCTTCACAACAGTCCGTTCTGTGCTACCTGCGACTGAAAATCTTCCCGTCTCTTAACCTGCTCCCCAGCAAGCTGCTCTCCTTTAGGCAAAGCAAACATAAACCTTTCAGGCTTTTCCCTTGGGGCATATCCTCCGGATCTCTGGTCATTTTTACTACCCTCCTCCACTTCCAAAGTCGCCAGTGTTTTCTTGAATAGCAGTGTTCCAAACCAAATACAGGACTTCAGCAAGAGAGCTCATCAATGTGTAGCTTGCTCCCTGCAGGCTGTACTTCCATATGCATCCCAATACCAGGCTTTTCTTTTTTGCCTATCTATTGACATTGCCAACTGATGTTCAGCTGGAGATCCACAGTAATGCCCACGCTCCCCTGAAGAGCTGCTGTCTCACCACTTATTTCCCCCCCTGTATTGGTGTCAAGAGCTACCAACACATAGTGCAGGGAGCCCTCTGGAGCTACACACCACCACTGCCAGCCTCTCTGTGCCCAGTGAGACAAATGCGCCCTTTTGATGGCGCCTCATGAAATATCTCAAGTTGTGTGTAGTTCTTAACTAGCACAGAGTGAAAAATACTGCAAATCCAGTGAGGACTGGGCCGATATTTGCATAACCTCCCCCTCCTTTTATATGCCTGCTCTATCTGTCAGGGAAAGGATGGAAAAACTATTAGGACTATTCCTTTCAAGGCTGATATATCCAATTTTATTCCCTTGCTCTATATTGAGTCTGTTAGTATATGTAGTCATGCCTAATACAAGCCCAAGCAGTCATCCACAATGGTGTACAGCAGAAAAAGGATAGGACTAATGACCTGTGAAATAGGTATGGCCAGACCTGGCTAGGCTGAGGCCGCTCTTTGGCAAAGCTTGGTTTGTCTTGGACATAACACAACGGATGACTTATTTAGTACTTTACACACACAGTTACAAAAGCTGAGGCTTTGTGCACAAGGAATTTATTTCCACTTTCAAGAAAAGAGAATGGCCTGAAAAATTATTGGTCTAACCATTTATTTTATGGCTTTTTCATAGAGAATACACTGTTTCAGTGTGGGTTGATATTAAGCAGTGTAACAGCACAGATTAGGCCCATTCAGTCCAAGTTACTACCGAGTTATGTGTAACTGTGTGTGACTCTGAGCAGACACCTATTCACCTTTCAGTGGAAATGCACCATCCTGTGCAGAGTTCACTTAAGCCTGGAAATTGTACTTTTTGAAAGGGCTTTGAACTCTAGCACCTTTAATTCTCTTCAGGAATACATCACCAGATTTAATGTGGATGAAGAACTTATGTCTGCTTGGATTCTTTTCAGCCGTCTGCTACCTAATCTATTTATTTAGCTGTATCATTTCTGAAATCATATTTACTATCTCCTAGACTCACATAATTGCTTCTTGCCATCATCGTTTCAGCAAGTTTCCTTTGCTTACACCCACTTCCTACTATAAAACTTTTTTTCAGCTGCTCTGCTAAATTTTATGCTTGACCTGAAATTTTACATACCAGATTATCAGAGTCAAGCCAAATGTGTTATTTATACATTTTCAGCAATTTTCAAAGCTAAAGTTATTGAAAAGGAATAGTTTTA